GTGAATTAAAACAACACATGATCCCAATTGCTTCAGTCAGGGGATTCGAGGCCAACTGAAGAGGTTGCTTTCCTTTGTCACTGATAATAAGAGTACTTCCAAGCTGTTGATCTCAAACTCTTTGAGAGCTTGTTTGGAGGTTCTAACAGGGGAGCACAGCTACTTGTATACCCTTGACCGAAGAATGGTCCTCCTCTGTGGGGGAAGGTAAATCCTCTTCAACCAAGCGTGCAGCTTCAGGAGGGATGCACATGGAGCTGTGAAGGAGGAAGGGGACACCTACCTAGCCAGCCAGATCAGCCAAATCAAACCTGGCAATCAGTGGGGTGACAGATGTCGCAGGCAGATCGCCCTCACATCCTCAGACTCTTTCCTTAGAGAGCTTTAGACACTTTCCCCACATCACCCCATAATATAGTATGAAGAGCTACCTTTTATCGAGTGCTTTACAAGTATCATTTCACTTAGCCGTTGGGTGACTTTATGCTGTATGGTTGTGTGACTTGCTGGAGATCTCACAGCTAGGCATAAGGTTGTAAGTCCCAATCTTGAGGACTTCAGAAAACCCTAGTGCCACTTTCTATTACCAGCCCAATTGAAAGGAATGATATGGTTTGCGGATGCTGGATAGCTTGGTCCTCTGCTCCAAAAGCCCCCAGGTCACTCCTAGCTTCCAGAACAAAGCTTTCACCCATTTGGATATTTATGATGCCTACTGGTGCCAGGCACAGTGCTGAGACCCAGAGACACATAGCCTTCGTCATCTGTGGCTCACCACCAAGTGGGCTCAGGACTTTTCTCCCTCCCATTATTTAATATGACCCAGTCTTTCCCTATCACTCTGGCCACCACCTGTTTATCCTTCCTCCGAGCTTCTCTAATGCAAATTTCCCAAATCACAGCAACTATTGCTGTGTTTTTGCTCTCCTTCACTCGGCAGTCATTTATATGTGCAAGATGCTGGGGACACACTAGTAAGTATACATTCCATCCTCAAGAAGTACAGTCTAAGAGAAGGAGCAAACATATAGTCAATGCATGGACTGGAGTGTTCCAAGACTATGCAAGACACCTGTGCCACTTGCCGCCTCCACAAGACAGTGACTAAGTTTTACAAAGTGACATTCTGAAGAAGACCAGGCCACAATCAGAAGAACTGAGTCAGTGATATCTACCATTTGAGTGACAGTGCAGGAGTCATTCCATTTCTGCATCTGCAAAATGGGAATACCAAGGGCTGGGGTTGTGACTCAGTGGTAGAGGACTCGCCTATCTCGTGCGAGGCCCTGGGTTCGATCCTCAGCACCACATAAACAAAAATAAATAAATTAAGGTGTTGTGTCTAGCTACAACTGAAAAAAAAATGAACATAAAAAAAATGGGAGTGCTCGCTTCGGCAGCACATATACTAAAATTGGAACGATACAGAGAAGATTAGCATGGCCCCTGCGCAAGGATGACACGCAAATTCGTGAAGCGTTCCATATTTTTTAGATAAATTTCTTAAGTCATATGATCTGCCCAGATTGAGTCAGGAGGATATAGAAAACCTAAACAGACCAATATCAATTGAGGAGATAGAAGAAACCATCAAAAGACTACCAACTAAGAAAAGCCCAGGTCCCGATGGGTATACAGCAGAATTTTACAAAACCTTTAAAGAAGAACTAATACCAATACTTTTCAAGCTACTTCAGGAAATAGAAAAGGAGGGAGAACTTCCAAATTCATTCTATGAGGCCAACATCACCCTGATACCTAAACCAGACAAAGACACTTCAAAGAAAGAAAACTACAGACCAATATCTCTAATGAACCTAGATGCAAAAATCCTCAATAAAATTCTGGCGAATCGGATACAAAAACATATAAAAAAAACTGTACACCATGATCAAGTAGGATTCATCCCTGGGATGCAAGGCTGGTTCAATATACGGAAATCAATAAATGTTATTCACCACATCAATAGACTTAAAAATAAGAACCATATGATCATCTCGATAGATGCGGAAAAAGCATTTGACAAAGTACAGCATCCCTTTATGTTCAAAACTCTAGAAAAACTAGGGATAACAGGAACATACCTCAATATTGTAAAAGCAATCTATGCTAAGCCTCAGGCTAGCATTATTCTGAATGGAGAAAAACTGAAGGCATTCCCTCTAAAATCTGGAACAAGACAGGGATGCCCTCTCTCTCCACTTCTCTTCAACATAGTTCTCGAAACACTGGCCAGAGCAATTAGACAGACGAAAGAAATTAAAGGCATAAAAATAGGAAAAGAAGAAATTAAATTATCACTATTTGCAGATGATATGATTCTATATCTAGCAGACCCAAAAGGCTCTACAAAGAAACTATTAGAGCTAATAAATGAATTCAGCAAAGTGGCAGGATTTAAAATCAACACGCATAAATCAAAGGCATTCCTGTATATCAGCGACAAATCCTCTGAAATGGAAATGAGGACAACCACTCCATTCAAAATATCTTCAAAAAAAATAAAATACTTGGGAATCAACCTAACAAAAGAGGTGAAAGACTTATACAATGAAAACTACAGAACCCTAAAGAGAGAAATAGAAGAAGATCTTAGAAGATGGAAAAATATACCCTGTTCATGGATAGGCAGAACTAACATCATCAAAATGGCGATATTACCAAAAGTTCTCTATAGGTTTAATGCAATGCCAATCAAAATCCCAATGGCATTTCTTGTAGAAATAGAGAAAGCAATCATGAAATTCATATGGAAAAATAAAAGACCCAGAATAGCAAAAACAATGCTAAGCAAGAAGTGTGAATCAGGCGGTATAGCGATACCAGACTTCAAACTATACTACAGAGCAATAGTAACAAAAACAGCATGGTACTGGTACCAAAACAGGCGTGTGGACCAATGGTACAGAATAGAGGACACAGAAACCAATCCACAAAACTACAACTATCTTATATTTGATAAAGGGGCTAAAAGCATGCAATGGAGGAAGGATAGCATCTTCAACAAATGGTGCTGGGAAAACTGGAAATCCATATGCAACAAAATGAAACTGAATCCCTTTCTCTCGCCATGCACAAAAGTGAATTCAAAATGGATCAAGGAACTTGATATCAAATCAGAGACGCGCCGTCTGATAGAAGAAAAAGTTGGCTACGATCTACATACTGTGGGGTCGGGCTCCAAATTCCTCAATAGGACACCCATAGCACAAAAGTTAATAACTAGAATCAACAAATGGGACTTACTCAAACTAAGAAGTTTTTTCTCAGCAAAAGAAACAATAAGAGGTAAATAGGGAGCCTACATCCTGGGAACAAATCTTTACTCCTCACACTTCAGATAGAGCCCTAATATCCAGAGTATACAAAGAACTCAAAAAATTAGACAATAAGAGAACAAACAACCCAATCAACAAATGGGCCAAGGACCTGAACAGACACTTCACAGAGGAGGACATACAGTCAATCAACAAGTACATGAAAAAATGCTCAACATCTCTAGCTGTCAGAGAAATGCAAATCAAAACCACCCTAAGATACCATCTCACTCCAGTAAGATTGGCAGCCATTAGGAAGTCAAACAACAACAAGTGCTGGCGAGGATGTGGGGAAAAGGGTACACTTGTACATTGCTGGTGGGACTGCAGATTGGTGCAGCCAATTTGGAAAGCAGTATGGAGATTTCTTGGAAAGCTGGGAATGGAGCCACCATTTGACCCAGCTATTCCCCTTCTTGGTCTATTCCCTAAAGACCTAAAAAGAGCATGCTACAGGGACACTGCTACATCGATGTTCATAGCAGCACAGTTCACAATAGCAAGACTGTGGAACCAACCTAGATGCCCTTCAATAGACGAATGGATAAAAAAAATGTGGCATTTATACACAATGGAGTATTACTCTGCATTAAAAAATGACAAAATCATAGAATTTACAGGGAAATGGATGGCATTAGAGCAGATTATGCTAAGTGAAGCTAGCCAATCCCTAAAAAACAAATGCCAAATGTCTTCTTTGATATAAGGAAAGTAACTAAGAACAGAGTAGGGACGAAGAACAGGAGAAGAAGATTAACATTTAACAGGGATGAGAGGTGGGAGGGAAAGGGAGAGAGAAGGTAAATTGCACGGTAATGGAAGGAGACCCTCAGGGTTATACAGTAGAGGGGGTAGAGAGAGAGGAGGGGAGGGGAGGGGAGAGGTGGGGAGGGGGGAGGGTGGATGATGGGAAAGGCAGCGGAGCACAACAGACACTAGTATGGCAATTTGTAAATCAATGGATGTGTAACTGATGTGAATCTGCAATCTGTGTATGGGGTGAAGGTGGGAGTTCATAACCCACTAGAATCAAAGTGTGGAATATGATATGTCAAGAAATTTGTAATGTTTTGAACAACCCACAATAAAAAATTAAAAAAAAAAAAAAAAAATGGGAATACCAATACCTAACCTGTCTAGCTGAGAGTTTGAATGAAAGGCTTGCCTAAAAGAAATTAAGCACATGAAAGCATTTCACAGGCTATAGAGTCCTAAGCCAATAGTATTAGCAATATGTTTATCTTCTAAGAATGCCTAGCATAAGTAGGCATGATAGATATTCAGTAAATATCAGCTAGTTTAAAATGAATCGGTTCATTCACCCAGCTTACCACCTTTTGTGGGCTTTTAAGGGCATTGTAAATCCCAGCACTGAGAATGCCTGCTTGTCTGCTGAATCAAGTGACTAGGATGTGAAGGTGCCTCGGAAGTTATCAGTATTGCACTGATTCCTGCTGTCCATCGAGGGGCTGAGGCTCAGGTGGTTCTGAATGTGGAGCCTTAGGCATGGCTTAGCCTCTGGCCAAATCCTAGGCCCGCTCACTGTCTTTGGGGAAATAAACTTTCCCCTGTTTGGGCTTCCAAACAACTGGCCCAAGACTGTGTCCAAGACTTTGGCATGGTCTCTAGGGAACCTGGCCCCCAGGTGCCCTCCCCTCATTAGCCCTTCACCTCTCATTTCAGCACCCCTACCCCACGGAGGATGAGAAGAGGCAGATCGCAGCCCAGACAAACCTCACCCTCCTGCAAGTAAACAACTGGTGAGTTAGCATCACCTGCCCAAAGCCTCCGGGACCTGGGGCCACAGGCTCGGCAAGGGAAAGGAGATAGAAAGCCCAGACCTGCCTCAGTCTCAGCCCGGCTGCCAGGCCAGTCCCCCTCCCATTTGAACTAAATGCAGAGAGCCAGAATCAACACCAGTACCCATGGCTCCATCTGCAGCTTCTCAGCGCCCTCTGCTGGGAAATTGTTCCAGGCTCATCCCTGGAAGCTTCTTGTTGAATAGAAAATCCAACCACACCTGAGCATCCAGCTCCGCTGACTGCTGAGACAGACATCTATAGATAGGAGGTGCAGCCCGTGGTCATCTGATCACCACCTGTGTGTGAACTGAAACTAAAACATTCTGCAACATTAGGAATGGCAAGGAGGAGGGAGAGTCTCCATTTTGACGCCACAGGGATCTTGGCTTTCGCCTTCTCTGTATCTGCCTGAGCTGGATGGGAATGGACTTTATTGTTGGGGCCCTGATATAAGCCCTCAGCTCTCTGGGGAAAAGTCAGAAGTTGCTACCTATGGCTACAGCTCTGTTCTCCTTTGTTCAATCCTGGTGGATTCCCCGTCCCCCAATTTTTCAATTGGTGCATTAGAGTTGTGCATAATAATGAGATTCGTTATTAAAATACGTACATGCATACAATACATGATATAACATCATAATTTGGTTCATATCACTCCCCAGCATTCCCCCCTCCCTCCCCATCTCCCATCCCTTGGACCCTTTCCTCTACTGATCTCCCTTTGATCTTCATGAGAAAATCCTCCTCAGGCTTTCTTCCCATATTGCTTCTTGGTTGCCGAGCCCCCAGGTGATTTTAAGAATTCCTCAACATGTGGAGCTCTTCTCTCTGCTGGGCCTTTACCCCTTAGATCAAAACCCCATCTGTTCTATCTAATTGTATCTGGGAGCAGCATTGCCCTCTCTGCCCCACACCAGACACCACCTACTAACCAGCTTTCCATCTTTACCCCTGGGCAGGTTCATCAATGCCCGGAGGCGCATCCTGCAGCCCATGCTTGATGCCAGTAACCCAGACCCTGCCCCCAAAGCCAAGAAGATCAAGTCTCAGCACCGGCCCACCCAAAGATTCTGGCCCAACTCCATTGCTGCGGGAGTGCTACAGCAGCAGGGTGGTGCCCCAGGAACAAACCCTGATGGTAAGAACTGGGGCTAAGGGTACCCTAGGTAGGGGCAGGTTGGGGCTCCTGGAAAGCAAAGATTCAAGGACTGTCTCCTTACCTAGGCCCCCACTGTTGCTCTATCACAATGATTAGCCCTCCCTGATCTCCTTCAAAACCTTAAAGGAAAGGATGCTTTTGCACCTTTTTTTGTCTTGAGGATTGGACCCAGGAACACTTTACCTCTGAGCTACATTGAGCTACATCCCTAGTCCTTTTTTAATTTTTTGAGACAGGGTCTCGCTAAGTAGCTGAGACTCACTAAGTTGGAGACTGACCTCAAACTTGTGATCCTCCTGCTTCAGCCTCTTGAGTCACGGGGCTTACAGGCATGTGCTACCACACCTTGCTTCGGGCACACATTTGAACAAGCTCAAAGTGATCTCACAAAGATGTGTGGGAGTCAGTGGTCATCTGAGTCAGTGACAGCTCAGCAGAGCCCTCTCTTCACTCCCACACACCTCCCCAAGTTCCTCAACACAGTCTGTGTCTGTGTGGATCCCCAAGACCAAGGCCATCTATAAATACCAAGGCAGGCAGCTGGCTTGTGAACAGAGGCCAGGAGAAGTTTTGTTTTCCCAGCTTCTCCATCACACCCTCCATACACACTCTTGTAATTGCCAGTCGCCGAGTGCATAATGAATAATTCAATCAGCTAGACATTTTAGAACTTGGCATGTGAAGATAGCTCTGCGTGGGCAGTGGGTTGGAGGTGTGCGTGTGTGCATGCAAGCCTTAGTGCATACATGCATGTATATTGTTGTAGGCTCTTATGAGCTACAGTATAAAGAAACTGATTTTAGGCTAGACCAATCTGGAAGACAATCCCAACTCTCAATGCTGACTGTGTCATTTTGAGCTAATGATTTAACTCTCTGGGGCTCATTTCCCCCTCTTTAGAGTGGGGACGATAATACCTGCCTTACAGAACTGTTAGAAAGCCCAAAGTTCTTAACATATTAACATAGAAGATGCTGAGTAAATAGTAAGCTGCAAGTGTTCCTGCCTAGAATGAGGTAGGGAGTAGCTGAAGTGAATGGATGGGGGACTTCTGACCAACTAATGATCTAGCCAAAGGTTGGGTACCCTTAGAAACAAGTAGCTCACCAGGTATTGTGTCACACACCTCTAATCCCAGTGTCTAGAAGACTGAGCAGGAGGATCACAAGTTCAAGACCAGCCTCAGCAACTTAGCAAGACCCTGTATCAAAATAAAATACAAAGGACTGGGAGATGTATCTTAGTGGTAGAGTGCTTGACCAGCATGCACAAAGCCCTGGGTTCCATCTCCAGTACCTCCCACCCTCAAGGAGAGAAACAAGGAGCTCATACCCCATGAGCCAGTCTAGTCAGCCCTGTTCAATACTGAAGTTACTGGGCCTGAATAACAGCCTCCGTGAAGTCATGACCCTTGCCCTGTCTCATGCAGGTTCCATCAATTTGGACAACCTGCAGTCCCTGTCCTCAGACAATGCCACCATGGCCATGCAGCAGGCTATGATGGCTGCACATGATGACTCATTGGATGGGACAGAAGAAGAGGATGAGGACGAGATGGAGGAGGAGGAGGAGGAAGAGGAGCTGGAGGAGGAGGCCGATGAGCTGCAGACAACGAATGTCAGCGACCTGGGCTTGGAACACAGTGACTCCCTGGAGTAGCCAGGCAGCCCAGAAGCGCTGATCACCAAGCAGGAAAGGAGTGTTGTCAGGAGGGCTTCAGGGTGGGGGGGCAGGAGGCATAGGCAGGGAGCACAAAGGAAGTTGGGCCCCAGCTTCCCCACATCAGTAGCTTGAAGAAATGCAGAGGAGACACCCTGCTTCTTCCCAACCACCAAGCTTCAATCAGCACCCCGGCCCCCTTCCCTGGAACCACGGAGGACTCCGTTTGGTGGAGCTGGTGAAGCAGTCTGTGTGGAAATGGAAAGACAGGAGTGAGATCTGGACTCACCCAAACACTGAGGACAGATGGCACCCACGGGTCCCCCACAGAAGGACTTGAGTTCTTTATAAGCCCCACACTGTGAGAGGGATCAATACTGTTTGCAGAGTGGGCCTTTGTCAGGGGACAGACTTGGAAGGGAAGGGAGAGACAAAAGAGGGTTGGGATCTATTCCCAAAAGTATCTCAACTGCTTTGAGAGACATTCGAAGGCAGGAGGAAGCCCAAAAGCATAACCAATGGCTGGAGGAGTGGTAGGGCCTAAGGCAAAACATCCTGCAGATCAGAGCGAGACCTGGACACCCTCTGAGGCTCCACCTCATCCCTCTAGGTCCCTTTCTCTGGATACAGCAACCATGGACTTGGGAGAGAGGGGTGGAGCCAGCAGAGCCTCCTTCTCTCTCTCCTGAAAACAAATTATCAGCTGGTGGGCTCAACCTATGAGAGATTAAGAGGAGCCCCTCTATCTGGGTTGGCTCCGGGAGCTGAGGAGGTGGCAGAACCTGCACTGGAAGCCATATTGAGGTAACTTTGAAGACCACAGCTGTCCCTAGGTGTGTCACAGAACACAGCTCATGTAACAACAGGACAATGGTGTCTTACCCTAGATGTTCCTATCCTCAGATGGAGCTCCTCAGACATTCCAGCCCCTCCATAGACCTACAGAGAGGGTGGAATGGAGCCAAAGTGTCTTGGATTCTTCCTACCTTGCAGTTCCACAAGGCTGTCCTTCTGCTCCTAGGCTGGCACCATTAGTCTCCAGCCTCCCTGATTAGTTCTATCCATCAGAGAAGGCAGAAGAAACATTGGAAAGAAGCATCAGTCCAGTGAGAAGCCAGGGTTTGGAGAAGGTGCTACATCCCTTTTTCCATCGATATCCAAAATGGCGGGTTAGTGGGGAATAGCATCCAAAAGACTGTGGTGGTGCCTAATCCCACCCTCCTTGGTATTCTGCACACCACCATTGTACACAGCACTGGAGGAACAGGGGCTCCTGGGAAGAGAAGGATTTCCACTATCTGCCCTAACACACATGCTCCCAGCCCAACTTCCAGGCCCTCACAGTTGGCATCCTCTTCTGTTCCCTCCTAAACCATGACTGTGAATGACAGGACTGATCACACGTGTGTTTTCCATTGGATTTAATTTAATGGACGTGCAGTTTCATTTGTAAATTGTGCATTAGCCATCTCCTTCAGTGGCAGGATGTGAGCGGCTATCTGGCTCAACTGGAGGGGACCCTCAGGGCCCTCTGGGCTTCCCCTCCCCTACCTGGTTGGGGTGGAGCAAAAGAATAGTCGCTTTCCTGAGGTCTCCCTGAAATGAATGTATTTCTCCCCCAAAAGAGCTGATATTTAATGTTTTAATAGGGATTTTTGAGAAACAAATAACCTTATTTATAATCTGGGTGATCCAATCATTTTTTACTCCCTTTTGATGCCATAGGTAGAGGAAAGTCTAGCTTTTTTGGCGTGAGACTTTTGCAATGTGCAGTGGGATAAAAATACATTTCCTCTTCTGTTCATTTTTCTTACACACACACACACACACACACACACACACACACACACTCTTCCACTTACCACTTTGATAAGCATCCCACCCCACACAGGCACACCCACACACAGGTGCCCACATCATTTCCTCCAGCACCCTCCACCTGCCTAATGTTATGCAACCTCCTTCTGATGTATCCACCAAACCAGTACTGAATGTGGCCGAGAAGTTTTCAGTAAATCTTATTACCTACCATAATTCTGGTTCGCAATTCTCTTTTTCTGTAGCTGCCATAGAGGTGCCTTGTTCCTTTAGTGGAACCAGAGTCAGAAAGAATTTGGAGGTCTCTGCATCAATCCTACTGAGCAGACTACCCACAGAAAAGGACAAAGGAGAGTGCTTCTTGGATGACCTGAGTTAACCACTCTGAGCAGAAAGATGGCCAAATCTGGCCCACTTACCTTGTGTGAGTCTAGGTCTGAAACAAAGAAATTAGAGAAGACAGAAGAAAGCTCTATTCTGCCCTCTCCTGGCAGTTTTCCCCCACTGCAGTGAAAGCTCTGAATTTGGTCTTTCTTTTCCATTGCTCTCTACCTCCCTCAAGGACTTTGTAGTCCTAGGCCTGAGAGTTTTCACCATTTGAGCTGGTGCTACCACAGCACCACACAGCAACTTCGCATGTCCTTTTCCTATCCCACAGGTGAAAGGTCCCAGGAACCTGGAAGAAGATGCAGTCTTGACTACAGCTTTAACCTCTGAATTGTGTGTGTGGGGGGGGGGGGGCAGGGGACCTTCCCTGTTATGTTGTATCCACTGGGGAAAGAAGTTCAGAGATAGCTCTTCTCCCCACATAAGTGAGAAGCAGGCTTTCTTGTCAATCTCAGACTAGAGTTCTCCTTACCTAGGCACTCTTACTAAGATGTCTAGGGCAATCTACTTCGAAGCAGAAGGGGAGTTTCTTGTTCATACTTATGAAGGCTGCAGAGTGCATATGCTTGGGGATCCCCTAGAGCCAGGCCAAGGATGGTGAAGGGGATGGTTATACACACAAAAGGGCCCCAAGCAGTTTTGGGAAGTTCCTTGGGGAACTGTTCTCACAGAGCCTAGCAGCAACACCAACCTACCCTCCCATCACCTAGACAGTGTTCTCCAAACTCAGCAAAGCGCCCCTCTGTGGGCAGATAAGAACATCAAGATATTAAAAATAATGCATTAGAACCTCACCTCCCAGCATCCGTAAAACTAGTCTTTTAAAGCAGTGATTTTCAAGGAACATGTATTAAAAGATACGCTACCAAGAAAAAAAAATTCTGTGGTCAAATTAGCCTAGTATTATTAAGGAACAATATATTTTCCTAGTAGAATTTAATAATGCACATTAGTATACTAAAGATCCTAGGAGAATTTAATAATGCACATTAGTATACTAAAGATTCTACAAAAGTTCTGGAGAAAAGAAACCAATTTATCTTTGTTTCAGCTGTTCCCCAGATGTATCTCCTCCCTGTCCCTGCTTTATTTCAAGTAATATCAAGTTATACAGGGATTCAGCAAAACACTTCAGGGAATACTATCCCCAGGGATTACAGAGTGGCCTGCCTCTGCCTCTCCTTCCATTCCTACGTTTTTCTATCCCATTCTGCCATCTTTTCAACCATGCTGCCAACTAAAAAAGGTTTTCTAAATCATTTGAGACTTGGGTAATTTTGTTTTGAAGAAGCACCAAACCCTGTCTCTGCATCATGATTAAAATGCTACCTAACCCAAGAAGAAGATGTTCCATAATCCCCGTAGTAATGAAAGAGGATGGGGGGACAGTGTGTGTGTGTGTGGTGGGGGGGCTGTTCCTTCAGCCCCAAATGGAACTTCGTATTAGTGTCTTGGAAACTGTTCAGATTGATTTCTGCCCCTGACCCCTATCCATCAGGAAAGACCTTTAACTTTTGGAGAACCTGCTCATGGGAGTGGATGACCAGAGCTATATATATCTTCTACCAAAGAGCCCCTCTGCTGCCTTGTATGGGGCCCATTGAGGGCAAAGACTATCATCCTGCAGTCTTCTCCTTCTTACTCCTCATGGCTTGAACATTCATTTAACACACGTTCAACTCTATCTCAGTCACTGTTTTAGACACCAATGGTACAACTGTGATCAAAGTTCTTGCCTTCAGGGAGTTTACATTCTAGTGGAAGAAGTTTGGAACTGAAGTTGTTTGTGGTATTCCTGTAATGACTAGGACCAGATCTCATCCTAGTAACCTCCAACTTTACTCAAATTTGCAGAGAAGAGAGTCTCAGGTCAAGCATGATGTTCAAGGCAAATTTAGCTGGCAGACATGTTTTGTCTGAACCATATGTTGTTTTTAACATTTTTGTACCAACATTTAAAGGTTTGAAGACTGCATGTTAAAAACATCAGATTCTTGATTTCTGTTGAAAAATCAGGCCATCGGGCACTCTGGGGAACTATATTCCCATGCAGCCACGATTGAATGTGGTTGAATAATTAGTTGCCCCCTAAGGGATTTCTCCAGGCTATGACATTCATCATCCCCTGTGGTCTCCCAACACAGAGGCTGCCATTTATTATGGGGCTCTCCCTACTTGGTTAGCTGGTTAATTAATTAAAAAATTAAATTTAAAATTAAAAATAGGGGTCTTTTTTCCCCCTCAAATATCTAAGTGGTCGTTTTTAAGAAGGGACATATTTCTCTAAACCTGTTACTTCATCAAGAATCATAAAACAAGGCTGGGGCTGTAGCTCTGTGGTAGAGCACTTGCCTAGCATTTGTGAGGCCCTGGGTTCGATCCTCAGTACCACATAAAAATAAATAAATGAAACAAAGGCTTTGTGTCTAGCTACAACTAAAAATTATAAAAAAAATGAGAAAAAAAGTATGTTAGTCAGTTTTTTGTTACTGTAATTAAAATACCCAACAAGAACAACTTCGAAGAAGAAAAGTTTATTTTGGCTCATGATTTCAGAGGTTCAGTCTGTGGTTGTCCAACTCCATTGTTCTGGGCCCGAGTGAGGCAGAACATTATGGTGCAAAGATATGGCACAGAAAAGCTGCTCTACTCATGGCAGCCAAGAAGCATAGAGAGGGCACTGGGGACAAAGTATAAACCCCAAAGGAATGCCCCCAGTGGCCTACTTCCTCCAGCCATGCCCTACTTGCCTACAGTTACCACCCAGTTAGTTCATTCAAATTATTAACCCATAGAACGGATTAATCTACTAATTAGGTTATAGCTATTATAATATAATCATTTCACCTCGAATCCTTCTACATTAACAGGAGCTTTGGGGAGACACTTCATGTCCAAACCATAACAAGAAGACAGTCCAAGAGAAGTCTGACTTTGAAACAAAATATTGGAGAGAACATAATCGTAGAAATGATATTCCTATCTTCTGTTGCAAAGTCTACCTGTCTCCCATCCAACTATATGCACATACGTTACCTGCCCATCTCACCCCTAGAAGAAATCATGAGTCTGGGAGACTAAAAATCACCAGTTTTGGTTTTTATCTATGCAGATTAGATCCCATCACCAGTGTTGTTCCCAAGAACATTGCTCACAGAAAATTATTTTCCGTTGCCTTTTGAAGTTCCTTGCTATATGATTCCTCCTTATATCTTCCTTTTTCCATGTAGACTACAATGCCTGAGCCAGTTATTCATTCAATGAAGTTTCATAGGTGCCTATTTTATGCCTGGCATCGACCTAGGGTCAAAAGATAATTCAACTTTACAAAGCATCACAGGCCAAGGGATAGAGAACCAAGGACTGCCAGAATGTTGATCGCATCATACTGTGCATTCCCACTTTGGCATCTTATTTCCATTCCATAGATGAGGCAGGTTTTATTATACCACTTTCAAGTGTATCTTATACTTTTGTGTTTCTCAGCCTCTCTCTGGGCCAATCTCATTTATCCCCTTTGCAAATTAAATGCATCTCATTAAATTGAACCCATTTAGGACAATGCCCTTCAGGTGTGTGCATCTTAGTAAATCTTTCATTTTAAGACAAGTGTTTGATTTATTTTTCATCTCATTACACTCTTTAAAATTATGTGCATCTCATTACACACAGCACACTGAGATGACTTATTTCAGGTGTAGACATTACACCCCATCTTATCAGGCAAGAATATGATTTTTTTCATTTCATTACAAGCCTTACAATTTATGTACATCTCATTATAATCAGCCATTTAAGACAATTCCCTTCAGTTGTGTGTATCTCATTATACCTTTCATTTTCCAATTTTTTTTCATGTTATTATTCAGAGAACTCACTTCAGGTGTCTGTATCTCACATTCACCTGTTATTTCCATTGAATTTCTGGGTGGTTGTTTGTGTCATTGTTTTGCAAAATTTTTATTATAACAAACTTATTTAAGGCCAGACCCACCCATGATTCTTTTCCTTTGGGAAGAAAGCATGTTGGGTTCCCTTGGATTTGGTCAAGATTCTGCCAATAATTTCTACTTACACACAGGGAACATCTAAACCATCTTAACCACCTTTCCTCACTTGTACATTGAGGGGATTAGAGGAGAGAAATGCTGAGTTTCCTGTAGTATCAACCACAAAACTCCAGTTCCATGGTGGTCAGTTCAGCAGGTTCCAGTTCCTACCTGGCTCCTCTTCCTGGACAGCTGCCCACTCCCACTGTGGAAGCTGAGTTTGAACCACTGTCCAGCTTCCAAAAGGCCTCACACTTCTTGCAGCTCCACCCCCCGCCCCCCCACCCCCCCTCCAGTTCCAGGGATCTAACCCAGGGCCTCATGCATGCTAGGCAAGTGCTCTAGCACTGAACCATACCCCTAGTCCATACTGCCTTGGTGACAGGGTAGAACTGCGTATCCACATGGGGCCACCTTTTGGAAGGAGGTGAAATAGATGTGCTCTTTCTGTGATGGAATCTTCCCAACCTACTGCCTCTTTGTTTCCACTCCAACCCTCATCCCAGGGATTCTCAGGTGGGGTGCATCTTAGAATTGCTGAATAGGAATTTTGGGATTCCAAGTTCCCAAGTTCCATTCTCAGCCTACTAAATCATAATGTTGAAGGGTCAGGACAAGATAGGCACTTTTTTTTTTAATAGCACCCCAGAGATTCTGAACCCCTATCTTAACTGAACTTGATTTCACAAAATGATCTGCAGTTTAGTTGCTCTGAGCTGAAAATTCCCGATACTTTCAGTATTGTCCTTTCTGGTTGTGTTTGCATCTCAACGAGAATCC